AATGAATTTTTTCACTTCGGAGGACCTAGATTTTCAGCGATATTGCATTGCAACGTATGGATCAATCGAAAATTTAATTGACAAAACCAAGAAAGGCGAAATTGTCGCCCAAGCACATCTGGGTTGCGCTTACTCGGAGGGTTTTGGCGATCTCTTGCCGCAAGATAACGACAAAGCGATTGGATGGCTTAGCACTGCTGTAGAAAATGGTTATGAATCTCCTGAGATCCTTGGAAAACTTGGGCGACTACTGGATTGGAAAGGAACAGTAGTATGCCGGCGAAAAGCCTACGAGATGTACCATAGAGCAGCGAGACTGGGTAACACAAGCTCACAGATAAATCTTGCAGAAATGTATCGTCTTGGAGTTGAAGGAGTCGTGAGCGAAGACCTCAAGGAATCTTTTAAATGGCTTAAAAAAGCGGCTGATGAAGATTTATCTGAAAGTGAAGTTAGAACAGATTTGTTCAGTAACACGTTAAGACGAATGCAAAACGCTATTGGTGGTGAAAAACAAACGGCTCTGAAACTTTTGTTCCTCAACTACGTCGATGGTGATTGTCCGGAAGGTCAACCACAACCAACTAAAGCTGTTTATTATTTGACCAGAGCGGCTGAACAGGGTGATACCGAGGCACAGGTTATCCTCGGAGAGATCTACTTGACTGGAGGTTGCAAGCAGTTGATAGATTTGCCAAGAGCGAGAAGATGGCTCAATAAAGCATCTGACAAGGGCGATTTAAGGGCGAAAGAGGTGAATTATTTAACAGTTAATGAATGAGGCTGAGTATCTTATGAGGAATTATGGAGATCGAGGAGGGTGTTATGGATAACACCCTCCGAGATCTCCATAATTCCTCATATGATATGAAAGCCAAATTCAATAAATGTTTTATTATTCATTATTTATTCCTAGTTTAAAAACATGGCTAAAACATGCTTGCCTCCATCGATCCATCGATGATAAGTTCATCTTTGATAGTGCACGTTTAGGGTTGTTCAGCTCCACAAATATTCTCCAAATAGCAGATGTCGCCCTTCGAGTTGTCCTCTTGCTGTTCGTGCCATGTCTTTAGCTATTTTTCGCCTAGTTCTTACTCTTGAAATGAGTGAAATGTCCGCCATTTTTCAAGTTCACAACCAAAACAACTCAACCTGGTCCCCAGGTCTTCTCGGTTAAGGGTGTATTAATCAGCAAGAATGCTGCATTTTTGACGTCATTTCCTCGCTAAACACAAAATTCTTCCAAATTTGGTCATCAGTAACTGGTTATGGTGAATTAAACGTGTGCTTTTAGCCAATCAGAATCAGGGAAATATTTTGAATGAATAATACCGTAAAATTCCGAAAATAAGCCCCTCCATGCATAAGCCCCTCCAAATAATTCTAAGCCCCCCAAACTCGTAATGCAAAAAAACCCTCCATTAAATTGCCCCTCCAAAATCCCCCCGGGTGGCTTGTACTCGGAAATTGCCCTCAAATACAAAGTAAAACAAGGCAAAAACGGTAAATTTCCTTCCATTATTTATAAGGCAAGCCCAATCGATTTTGAAACGCAAATTTCCTTCCGTAGATAAGCCCCTCAAAAAAAATATAAGCCCCAGGGCTTATTTTCGGATTTTTACGGTAATTGTTCTTATTTCATCAGTCCTTTGTTCACAAGACTTGCTATCTTTATACTTTATTTAACCCATTCGCTCCTGGAGATTTTGCCGAAAAACGCATTTTGAAGCTAGTCGAGTGGTTTTCTGGTCTTTGTCGTGCTATAAAGAGCTAAAACTTACCACAAACCGGTTTACAGGTCGAACACTTTGCAGCCTTCTGATCCAGATGCAAAATATCAGCTTGCGAAGTTCGGGCATCAAAGAAAGCAAAATTTCGAGATAGGTTTTGGGTTTAAAAGTGACACAGCAGTCTCGACTTTTACTTTTCGCTTTCTCTCCTCCCTTCTTTTTTCGCTTTTCTTGCCTCATTTTTTTTTCTCTTGCTGGGCATTTAGTAGGCTTCATTTTGGTGGAAAGAGTTTTTAGGAAAGCTTTTAGATCTTAGGATTAGGTGAAAGGAAAGGTAGGTGGGTAATGGAACAAGATTTTCATGGAGATTTTCAGGTCAATGTCACGTGGTTTTTTGCTTGTTTCTCCGGTGTCCTTGACTAAATTGTGCTCATTCTGGTATGNTATCTTTATACTTTATTTAACCCATTCGCTCCTGGAGATTTTGCCGAAAAACGCATTTTGAAGCTAGTCGAGTGGTTTTCTGGTCTTTGTCGTGCTATAAAGAGCTAAAACTTACCACAAACCGGTTTACAGGTCGAACACTTTGCAGCCTTCTGATCCAGATGCAAAATATCAGCTTGCGAAGTTCGGGCATCAAAGAAAGCAAAATTTCGAGATAGGTTTTGGGTTTAAAAGTGACACAGCAGTCTCGACTTTTACTTTTCGCTTTCTCTCCTCCCTTCTTTTTTCGCTTTTCTTGCCTCATTTTTTTTTCTCTTGCTGGGCATTTAGTAGGCTTCATTTTGGTGGAAAGAGTTTTTAGGAAAGCTTTTAGATCTTAGGATTAGGTGAAAGGAAAGGTAGGTGGGTAATGGGACAAGATTTTCATGGAGATTTTCAGGTCAATGTCACGTGGTTTTTTGCTTGTTTCTCCGGTGTCCTTGACTAAATTGTGCTCATTCTGGTATGGTTTGAAAGATCTCTTCACTCTGCTCAAGTTAGCGACAAAAGTTGTCCTTGACCGTTAAAACTGATGACGTCACAATGGGTAGAAAGGACCTGGATCTGCACAGGCGGTTATGGGCGGTTCAGGGGCGAATGGGTTAACACGGATATTACTCTTAGCTATTGGCTAGTTTACAGGTAATCCACAGCCCTAATTATATTCCAAAAATTTAAAATTTAAAATTCCAAAAAAAAATTGTATTATAAAAATTTAAAATTCAGAACTAAAAATATACAATAATTCATCATCTGAAAACTGTAAAAGCTAAGAATTGATTAAAACAACAAAGAAACAAGCAGCAATTACTATAAATCCCGATTTCAGTCAAAACTTAAGCAATCGAATTTTGTTCTTCACTTCATTAGTGCCTGCTTTAATTCTAATGTCATTTGCTAGCTCATTCCATTTCTTAGCAGCAAAATATCTCCAAGATTTGAGACCGTATTTAGTCATGTTAACTTTAGGTAATGAAAGGATATAATCATGTCAAAGACTATACTTTGATGAGCATACATGTAAGGTGATAAGATCTCTAATTGCGGGTGGAGCTTTGTCTGATATACTGTTGTTTATTGTCAATAGCATGTCTTGGATTCTTCGAGTTTCCAATGATGGGAGTCTCATTCGTTCCAAGAGATCTTGACAAGATGCACTTTTATCATTGAAGATGTACCTCAAAGCCCTTTCGTTGACTTTCTCAATTTTAGCAGTGTTTCTTTTTCGGCAGTGGTGCCAGATTTGGTTACAATAGTTAAAATACGGTAGTATAAATGCGCAATAAAGCGATTCCTTGGTTTTAAGTGGCAAAGTGTTCTTCAATCTGTTCAGAGCACTTATCTGAGCACTTACTTTGCCACAAATACTTGAAATACCTTAACCTCGCAAGCAGTGGTTTCTCCAGGCAGTAGGGAGTCTGAGAAACCACTGCAACCAACCGTCCGCTTTTCCATCGAGCATACTTCCCTATGAGAGGCTAATGGGGATGTGCTGCTGGATGGGGTCGTATTTTCACGACTGGATTGACTATATTTGGGTGCATATTTTCGGTAAGACACTTCTTCATATTTAAAAACTGGGTCAGTTCATTTTAGGATGACCGATTTAAGGATTTATAATAAAGGTAGATACATAGAAAGTTGGGATCGCGAAAATTATACATTTGCCAAAAAGTGACTAAGATAGGGTCTATAATTGGCCACAGAATAGACTATAATAGGGGCTCTGAGAGGCCAGCAGCACATACCCAGGAAAAATAAATCCTGCTCATCAAATTATTTTTCAGTGTAGTTAAAATGACTCTTGGGCTAGTACATGCTAACTACAGCTTGTAAGACTGACTAACTTTGCATCCTGGAAAGGAATGTTCTTCTTGGTTGAGCTTAGCAGGCATTTGTGGGGAAGGACAAAGATGTCTGCATGTGACGCCAAGCAAATGGTTGCTCACAGTGGTTTCTCTCTCTTTGTTGCATGGCGTCAGACCTGGAGAAATCACTGCTCACTACCATCTTTTCACACTGGCTTTTATTTATTTACAGATACACAGGGCAACAAACTGAAATTTATTTTTTAGAAAGGATATACGTCCAACCAACAAGTTGCCATTTTACTTTTCGCAGATTAACAACAGCCTACAGGACCCAAATAGGAACTTATGCACATAGTTATAGCCATTAAAGTGTACATAACTCACAAAAAGATGTCTCTTTGTTGTTTTCTTCTGTTTCCTGTTTTACAAAAAATGTCACTTTTAATTAGCAAGTTTTGATGTGTTGGTTTCACACCTACCAAAACTTGCTAAAATGTTTGTATAGGGCAGGAAACAGTACAAAGAAAACAATAGAGGGACATCTTTTTATGAGGTATGTACACTTAAATGGCTGTTTCTATGCATCTTACCCATTTTATTGATCTTGCATGAAATTCACATACAAATCCTTATAATTTGGCCATTGTGAATCCGGACCCCCTTAATGATTATACCTCCACTCATGAACAGGAAGTTGGCGTTTTGAGTTTGGGGTACTGAGGGGGTATTATTTTATTTATATATTTATTTATTTATTCATATAATTATTATATTTTATAAGATTACAGCAAATTTACATTCAATTTGAGAAAAAAATTCATACAGTGGAACCTCCATTTAACAAACCTCTACATAACAAAATCCTTAGTATAACAAACTACTTTCTTCAGCCTAGCCAAAATTACTGTAAAATGTTTCGAACAGAACCTCGCTTTAACAAACCTCGATTTCATGAAATCCACAGTGAGTGGTGAGGAGACTTCAGAAAGCCTTGTTCAACGGGGTTCCCCATAATTTGGTCATAATGGATTGAAATAATATAGGACTTAGGGCAGCAGGATATAATAGACTTAGTCAGTTTTTGTAAGAAAGAAAGTCATGAAGATATTTTTTAAAATTAGAAAAAGTGGTGGAACTTGAAACAGATAATGGAAGGGAATTCCAAATTTTTTCGAGACCCAAGTATAAAACAATAAACTGTTTATATTTGTTTGACCAAAGTGTGGTCTGCAATTTATTACAATTCTGGTGATGTGTGTACCTGGGCACCAGTTATAATATAGGTTCAGAAAAGAAGAAGGCAGCAAATGATGATGATAGCAGAACATAAATTTAGCAACATGTAACATAGAAATACCAAAAATGTCTCTAAAATCTTGAGTTTGGCAAATAATGAAGCAGTGTAAGAACCATACTCTGAGTTAGATAAAACATGGATGGCACTTTTTGTAAGAGAGAAATTTTTAAAAGCAGTGTAATATGGAGTGGGGGGGGTACATTTTTTTGTGATGGCAAAAAGGGAAGGGGGTACAAGTTTTATAGATACTTCCTTTCCCCTGCAAACTGCCAGACCTTCGCGTTGCTGGAATAACCACGTAAAATGGCAGTCACGTCTCCAGTATGAGACGTAAAAACTGAGTGTCCTCAATCAGTACTTTTGTACTATTACATTGACACTCAAATAGATCCAAATAAAGTGCATTTATTTTATGAAGCGCTTTTTATTTAATTTTTGTTTCATCCCAATAGACATCTTTGTTATAAACACTCAAATGCCACTCAAACAAACTACAAAATGACCTCAATCAAATATATATTTTTTTAACCTGTGTCTTTAGGGTGGGGCTATTGGAGCAGCTGTTTTTGAAACTCTGTTGGATTGAGTATCACAGAGAAGCCAATTTTAACCACAGAGAAAGTTGTGTTTGATCATGACCAGGATGAGTTTTTTTTCCTGTCTCTGTCTTTGTAATATTAAGTGACAAGGTATTCCAATCAACCGGTGCGAGGAAAGGGCTTGGGCAGATTTTATCACAGGACTGCATTTAAACTGATGAGGAAGGGGGGGATGGGGTGACAGGCCACGAGAGGAAAAAAAAGGAGGATCTATTTTCTAATACCATATTTCCTCAAATGAGCCCCTAAGGTGGTTATTTAAAATTTTGGTTAAAAGGAGAAGCACTTATGGGAGGGAGGGTGCTTAATCAGGGGACTCTTTTATTAAGGTTATCTTTCGATGAATTACAACTATATTCTGTCTAAATCTTTTATCAAAAAACAAAAACTACAACATTATCCACATGAACCTAAAGTTAATATTTATGTCTTTCATTTGTTAAATCAGTTGTTGATAGTCAAGCGTGCCATACTCCCACAATGCACTTTACACACATGCATTGAAATGCATATTTATGAAAATACTCATTGATTATCTAATTATCATCATCAAAATTAATATTGATTCTATCATCAGTAAATTGGAAGTAGAAACAGGTTTTCTTTGTATCCCTACAATTTTAAGAAAGTGAGGGGAGAGAGGAGGGGGTGCTTGTTCAAAAGGCGCGCTTGTTTGGTCATAGGGAGGAGCTTAAACAAATGGAGACATTTTGAGTGGTGCACATCTACCGGAAGTGAGGCCTTTTCCCTTTCAACCTGCTTGACAGTAACGAATTTGGTATTGCTAAGTGTCTTTCATCTTCTAGAGATGATGTGACTGAAGGTTTGGGCAAAACCACTACCCAAGAATACAAAAAGTCTATCTTGTAATTTGTTGACATACGTCCCTTGAAAAGCTCTTTTCTAGGCTCCCTTTTAGGGATGGCCTTTGTGGTGGTGCTTGTGAGAGGGAGCTAGCTTTTTATAGCATGGGTGCTTATAAAAGGAATTAAAGAAAGACAAGGAGCCATCCTCAGGGACTCCCTCCTTGGTGGATGGGCGTTTATTTTTTAAAATTTTCATTGGAGGCGGGAGGGAGGGGGGGATTTTGTTGCAAAACATGATGCTAAACCCCCAGCCTCCATCCCCAAACAGTCCCTTATTTTACTTTATTTTTTTCAGTCATACGTTACATTGTCTTTTCATTTAAGTACTATATATGCTGATTTTTGGTTCAAAATTATACTCATTGGCATTTGTTCATGTTTATCAGCTTTCTATTATACACTTATGTGTATGTTGTGGTTCAGTTTTATCCCTGGTTTAATTTTTTTTTCCTTTGTCATACATTACCATACTCCAAAACAAAGGGATATAATATTTAAACCAAGGATAAAATTAAACCACAACATGCACACTTAGTCTTTGAAAAAAACAAACCATTTACATATGGATTAATTCTGCCGTTCTCCATGCCAAGCACCTTGATAATGACAAAGCTAATTACTACTATCGTTGTTTTCCAGCTTCTTCAGCAGTGTGCACAGAGTAAGGACCCACCTTGTGCAGCATTAGATCCCCAAGAAAAAGTTCTGGAGCAATCCTTTAGCATATTAAGTGAAAAAAAGATTCAGAGATTGGAAGCAAATTTTCACCCGCTTCACATTCGACAACCGGTCGCATTCTCAGAGGAAATGCTTAGCCGGTTTACGGAAAGGTAGCGAGACTGGGTAACACAAGCTCACAGATAAATCTTGCAGAAATGTATCGTCTTGGAGTTGAAGGAGTCGTGAGCGAAGACCTCAAGGAATCTTTTAAATGGCTTAAAAAAGCGGCTGATGAAGATTTATTCGATAGTGAAGTTAGAACAGATTTGTTCAGTAACATGTTAAGACGAATGCAAAACGCTATTGGCGGTGAAAAACAAACGGCTCTGAAACTTTTGTACCTCAACTACGTCGCTGGTGATTGTCCGGAAGGTGAACCACAACCAACTAAAGCTGTTTATTATTTGACCAGAGCGGCTGAACAGGGTGATACCGAGGCACAGGTTATCCTCGGAGAGATCTACTTGACTGGAGGTTGCGAGCAGTTGATAGATTTGCCAAGAGCGAGAAGATGGTTAAGTAAAGCATCTGACAAGGGCGATTTAAGGGCGAAAGAGGTGAATTATTTAACAGTTAATGAATGAGGCTGAGTATCTTATGAAGAATTATGGAGATTGAGGAGGGTGTTATCGGCCTCGAAGGATAACACCGTCCGAGATCTCCATAATTCTTCATATGATTCGAAAGCCGAATTTAATAAATGTTTTATTATTCATTATTTATTCCTAGTTTAAAAACATGGCTAAAACATGCTTACCTCTATCGATCCATCGATGATAAGTTCATCTTGGATAGTACACGTTTAGGGTTGTTCAGCTCCACAAATATTCTCCAAACAGCAGATCATTACGGAATCGCGCCTGTAGAAACGTGTCGCTAGTAAATGCAAATTTTTCTGTCAATCAAATGTGTCCTATTATTTGTAGGTGGAAATTGGTGAAACATCATTATTGTTTTGGAGACAAAAGAAGAACAAAAGATAACACAAAGATCAAGTTATGCGGTCTTAATGAGTGTTGCGTGACTTAAATCAGTTGCAGCATTTCTCTTAACTTTCCCGCCTTAAAACGTTGGAATGAAAAGTCTGAAGCCTAGCTTTTAAAATCTGGACAGCCAAAATAAAAAGGGTGCCCGAAAAGGCAAGCATTTGTGAATTCAAAATCAATATTTTTGTCTCCAGCGAAATGCGGCGGATGAACAGTTATTTGCATATAAGCGTAAGTGAAGCGAAATAGATACAAATTGCCATGGTTGTAAACACGACGTTTCCTCTAAGTTTTTTTCCTTTTGAAAGCGTAAATTCGCATGAAAGAGCTCAGCTTGCACAAAATAATATAAAATGAAACAAATCAAATCGAAAAGTGGTTAAAAAAAAGTCAGGATATATCAGTTCGATAGAAAGTAAGTGATTGGGTAGGTGATTTGCATACTGATAAAAACGACGTCTAGTGCACTTCAAAACCATTCGGCTTCCTGAATTGTTTTTCAGGAATTCTATAGATTCTGCTGGCCCAAATCGTTAAAATATCCTATGAAGTCAAAATATTTACCAAGTTTAGCGTTTGCATTTCCTTATAAAACAGAGAGTAGCACGAAAGCTTGGATCTATAGATTTTCTTACGTTAAATTACCTTTGTATCGTGGAAACAATACGCTAACACTTGAGTCTTGAATCAAAGGACGCGACATGCGTCGGCTTCCTTTGTGAGCACGCAAATAGTCATGGGAACCGCGATTTTGTGGGCGACACGGATCTACAGGCGCTGTTCCGTAATGGTCGCCCTTCGAGTTGTCCTCTTGCTGTTCTTGCCATGTACTTAGCTATTTTTTCGCCTAGTTCTTACTCTTGAAATGAGTGAAATGTCTGCCATTTTTCAAGTTCACAACCAAAACAACTCAACCTGGTCCCCAGGTCTTCTCGGTTAATGGTGCATTAACCTGCAAGAATGCTGCATTTTTGACATCATTTCCTCGCTAAACACAAAATTCTTCCAAATATGGTCATCCATAACTGGTTATGGTGAATTAAACATGTGCTTTTAGCCAATCAGAATCAGGGAAATATTTTGAATGAATAATACCGTAAAATTCCGAAAATAAGCCCCTCAAAATATAAGCCCCCCCTATCTCATAACGCAAAAAAACCCTCCATTAAATTGCCCCTCCAAATATAAGCCCCCCAGGTGGTTTGTACTCGGAAATTGCCCTCAAATACAAAGTAAAACAAGGCTAAAACGGTTAAATTCCTTCCATTTATAAGGCAAGCCCAATCGATTTTGAAATGCAAATTTCCTTCTCTAGATAAGCCCCTCCGAATATAAGCCCCTCCAAAAATAAGCCCCTCAAAAAAAATATACGCCCCAGGGCTTATTTTTGGATTTTTACGGTAATTGTTCTTATTTCATCAGTCCTTTGTTCACAAGACTTGCTATCTTTTATGATACGATACGATACGATAGGATACTTTATTTAACATGGATATTATGCTAAGCTATCAGCTAGTTTACAGGTAATCCATGGCCCTAATTATATTCCAAAACTTTAAAACTGAAAATTGAAAATTATATTATAAAAATTTAAAATTCAAAACTAAAAATATACAATAATTCACCATCTGAAAACTGTAAAACCTAAGAATCGATGAAAACAATAAAGAAAGAGGCAGCAATTACTATAAATCCTGATTTCAGTCAAAACTTAAGGAATCGAATTTTGTTCTTCACTTCATTGGTGCCTGCTTTAACTCTAATGTCATTTGCTAGCTCATTCCATTTCTTAGCGGCAAAATATCTCCAAGATTTGAGACCGTGTTTAGTCGTGTTAACTTTAGGCAATGAAAGGATATAATCATGTCAAAGATTATACTTGGATGAGCCTAAGGTGGTAAGATCTCTAATTGTGGGTGGAGCTTTGTCCAATATGCTATTGTTTATTGTTAATAGCATGTCTTGGATTCTTCGAGTTTCCAATGATGGGAGTCTTATTCTTTCCAAGAGATCTTGATAAGATGCACTTTTATCATTGAAGATGTACCGCAAAGCCCTTTCGTTGACTTTCTCAATTTTGGCAGTGTCTCTTTTTCCGCAGTGGTGCCAGACTTGGTTACAATAGTTAAAATACGGCAGTATAAATGCGTGATAAAGCGATTCCTTGATTTTAAGTGGCAAAATGTTCTTCAATCTGTTCAGAGCACTTATCTGAGCACTTACTTTGCCACAAAAACTTGAAATACCTTAACCTCACAAGCAGTGGTTTCTCCAGGTGGTAGGGAGTCTAAGAAACCACTGCAACCAACCGAGCATACTTCCCTATGAGAGGCTAATGGGGATGTGATGCTGGATGGGGTCATATTTTCACCACTGGATTGACTATATTGGGTTTGCACAAATCCTTATAATTTGGCCATTGTGAATCTGGGCCCCCTTAATGATTATACCTCCACCCCTGAACAGGAAGTTGGCATTTTGAGTTTGGGGTGGGGGGTATTATTTTATTTATTTATTTATTTATTTATTTATTCATATAAATATTATATATTATTATATACTTTTTACATCACCACTTCCTACATAAGATTACAGCTAATTTACATTCAATTTGAGAAAAAAATTCATACAGTGGAACCTCCATTTAACAAACCTCTATATAACAAAGTCCTCAGTAAAACAAACTACTTTCTTCAGCCGAGTCAAAAATTACAGGAAAATGTTTGGAACAGAACCTCGCTTTAACAAAAAGCGATTTTATGAAATCCACAGTGAGTGGAGAGGAGACTTTAGAAAGCCAAGGCTTGTACATGGAGGTCCCCCATGATTTGGTCATAATGGATTGAAATTATTTAGGACTAGGGGCAGCAAGATATAATAGACTTAGTCAGTTTTTGTAACAAAGAAAGTCATAAAGATATTTTTTAAAATTAGAAAAAGTGGTGGAACTTGAAACAGATAATGGAAGGGAATTCCAAATTTTTTCAAGACCCAAGTATAAAACAGTATATTTGTTTGACAAAAGTGTGGTCTGCAATTTATTACAATTCTGGTGATGTGTGTACCTGGGCACCAGTTATAATATAGGTTCAGAAAAGAAGAAGGCAGCAAATGATGATGATAGCAGAACATAAATTTAGCAGCATGTAACATAGAAATACCAAAAATATTTCTAAAATCTTGAGTTTGGCAAATAATGAAGCAGTGTAAGAACCATACACTGAGTTAGATAAAACATGGATGGCACTTTTTTGTAAGAGAGAAATTTTTAAAGGCAGTGTAAAATGGAGGGGGGGGGGTACATTTTTTTGTGATAGCAAAAAGGGAAGGGGGTACAAGTTTTATAGATACTTCCTTTCCCCTGCAAACTGCCAAACCTTCCCATGGCTGGAATAACCATGTAAAATGGCAGTCCAGTATGAGACGTAACAATAGTGTCTTCAATCAGTACTTTTGTACTGTTACATTGACACTCAAATAGATCCAAATAAAGTGCATTTATTTTATAAAGCGCATTTTATTTGATTTTTGTTTCATCCCAACAGACATCTTTGTTATAAACACTCGAATGCCACTCAAACAAACTACAAAATGACCTCAATCAAATATTTTTTTTAACCTGTGTCTTTAGGGTGGAGCTATCGGAGCAGCTGTTTTTGAAACTCTGTTGAATTGAGTATCACAGAGAAGCCAATTTTAACCACAGAGACAGCTGTGTTTGATCATGACCAAGATTAGTTTTTTCCTGTCTCTGTCTTTGTAATATTCAGTGACAAGGTATTCCAATCAACCGGTGCAAGGAAAGGGCTTAGGCAGATTTTACCACAGGACCCCATTTAAACTGATGGGGAAGGGGGGGATGGAGTGACAGGGAATGAGAAGAAAAAAAAAGGAGGATCTATTTTCTAATACCATATTTCCTCAAACAAGCTCCTGGGTGGTTATTTAAAATTTTTGTTGAAAGGAGAAGCACTTATTGGAAGGAGGGTACCGGTGCTTAACCAAGGGAGTTGTTTATTAAGGTTTCAATGAATTATAACTTTATTCTGTCTAAATCTTTTATCAGAAAACGAAAACTACAACATTATCCACATGAACCTAAAGTCAATATTTATGTCTTTCATTTGTAAAATCAGTTGTTGATAATCAAGCGTACCATACTCCCACAATGCACTTTACACACATGCATTGGAATGCATGTTTATGAAAATACTTATTGATTATCTAATTATCATTATCAAATCAATATTGATTCTCTCCTCAGTAAATTGGAATGAGAAACAGGTTTTCCTTGTATCCCTACTATTTAAGAAATGAGGGGAGAGGGGAGGGGGTGCTTGTTCAAAAGGCTTGGTTGTTTGATTATAGGAAGGAGCTTAAGCAAATGGAGACATTTTGAGCGGTGCACGTCTACTGGAAGTGAGGCCTTTTCCCTTTTAACATGCTTGACAATAACCAATTCTGTATTGCGAAGTGTCTTTACTCTTCTAGAGATGATTTGACTCAAGGTTTGGGCAAAACCACTACCCAAAAATGCAAAAAGACTACTTCTTGTAATTTGTTGACATGTGTCCCTTGAAAAGCTCTCTCCTAAAGCTCCCTTTTAGGGATGGCCTTTGTGGTTGGTGCTTACTTGTGGGAGGGTGCCAGCTTTTTAGAGCATGGGTGCTTATAAAAGGAATTAAAGAAAGACAAGGAGCCATACTCAGGGACTCCCTCCTTGGTGGATGGGTGTTTATTTTTTAAGTTGTACACTGGAGGTGGGATGGGGGGAGAGGGGGAATTTAGTTGCAAGACATGATGCCAAACCTCCAGCCTCCACCCCCAAACAGTCCCTTATTTTATTTTATTTTTTTTCAGTCATACGTTACATTGTCTTTTCACTCAAGTACTATATATGCCGATTTTTGGTTCAAAATTATACTCATTGGTATTTGTTCATGTTTATCAGCTTTCTATCGTACACTTATGTGGATGTTGTGGTTCAAATTTTATCCCTGGTTTATTTTTTCCCCTTTGTGTTAAACTCATGATCATTCATTACCATACTCCAAAACAAAGGGATATAATATTTAAACCAAGGTTAAAACTGAACCACAACATGCACACTTAGTCTTTGAAAAAAACAAAAAATTTACATATGGATTAATTCTGCTGTTCTCCATGCCAAGCATCTTGATAATGATAAAGCTAATTACTACTATCGTTGTTTTCCAGCTTCTTCAGCAGTGCACACAGAGTAAAGACACACCTTGTGCATCATTAGATCTCAAAAAAGTTCAAGACCTCGTTAGGAAATCGTATAATTCACTTTTTTTCTAAGTCTCTAACCTTCGTTTAAAAGTGGGCGAAGTGTAAGCTGTTGGCCAGCGTAAGAGTCTCCTTTACGAATCGGCCAAATGCCTTTCCTCCCCAACAGCACGACTCTATCTTCAAGCTTTCAAGCTGGTGAAACAAGGCTTTGAAGTTCTCTACAAGAGTAACTTTAGCAATGAAAGAGGAATTTCCCTCATAGCTCATGGGTACTTGACTGAAAATTCTATTCTACAAGCCTTTCCAGTGACAGACGATTTTTTCTCTCGGGTATGTGAACTATGCGAGAAGAGCTTACAAAAGAATCCCCAGTTTTACGAAGGTCTCCTTTTGTCATACGCTTTGCGTCATTCTGGGCAACACGTTTCGGAGAACAGCGACGCAGTTGATTTCAAGAAAGTCGTATGCTTAAAGAACTTGATTTATTTCATTGAAAATGCTGAATTAAACAGGCGTACTCCTAAAGATCCTTTTAAGTTTGATGATAAATACAGCAGCTGGCTTCATGTTTTGTATTTTCACTTAGGATCGATCTATACTATACTCGGACAATGCCATGACCTAGCAGCAGAAGCTCTTGAGAATTCTCTTAAGTGCTGCCCGCATTACTATTACTCTAAAAGAGCTCTTGGGTATTCGTTACTGATGCAGTATTTCTCTAGGCTGGCCGTTGAAAAGAAAATAACTACTAAAATTGCTCCTTGCAGCCAAGATGAACCATCAAAGCCTAGTCGTGAAGACAGAGCTTTTGATAACAGGAAAATTTTCAAGTATGCATCTTGGACGACTGAATCATTAAAAGATGCTGCAGTGGACATACTGAAGGAATATCTAGCTGAGGCGCCACCTTGCTGCAAGACATACCCGAATGCACTTTATTATCTTGCATATATTGCCTTCATAACACAAAACAAAGAGGACGTAATGAAATATTATGAACTAGCACAAGATGCTGAAGAAAATAGACTTCCTTTCTTCGAACCTGTCAACATCCCTTTGAAAGATAGCGCGTCTCTTTACTACCAGCTATGTACCAATCTCCCAACCACCAGGTGCGGCAATAAGGCTTGCAAAAGGAATGTAAAGAAAAAGGAATTGAAGTTGTGCTCCCGGTGTAGAAAAAAAAGTTACTGCAGCAAGTGAGTGCATCTATTTAGATCAAAAAAGAGCGCGCAGTACACTATAGAAACGTTTCATGCCAAAACAATTCAAGCTATTCACTCCCACCAATTTGGTTGACAAATGCCGTATGAAGCTAGTCAGTCCGATCACGAACTCGTCAAAACGATGCAAAACTGTCCAACACGTTGGTTACATTTGTCGAACACTGCGCTGGCTGTAAGTGACAGCGTCGGAATTTCGGGCATGCGCAGAAAGGGAAATTTTCTAGAGTTTTGAAAACGGACATAGCTGCGCCTTGCCTATTTTACCTATTGCTTTTTCTCTCTCTCCCCCCCCCCCCCCCCCCCCCCCCCTCCTTTTCCCCCTCTTTTTTTTTTCTTCTCCTGTTTCCTCCTTTTTTTTTTTTATTTTTTTTTCCTTTTTAAACCCGCCCCTCATAATAAATATAATTATTTCTGAATATAACACAGAGACTGGGTGTGGGAATAAGAGGAGCACTCT